TTTTGTGTTGAAATTTTGGTTTTGAAAAGTTGGTCTGAGAAATCATTAGAAAGAGTTTATTTAAATATTTTAAAGATAGCTAAATTATTAAAAATAAAATTAGCATTATTAACATATATAATAATATTTTTTAAATTAGAGTAATAAGAACTTAAAACATACTTATTAAGAATTCTTTTTTATAAAATATTTAACTTTTTGTATACATCTTTGTGAAATATAGTACTAATTCAAAAAAATATATAATAGCATCTATTTTTCTTGGTATTAATACATCTTAATCTTTTTTTTTGCCAAAATACTATCTAGACTTCTAAAAGCAAAAAAAGCATCCAATCCCTATTTTAAAAAAAAAATTTTCAATCTACTACAGATTACCCGAACCATTATATTTTTAAAGACAAAATTTATACTTCTTTTCTAGTTAATATTGATGAGACTAATACTAGATTTTCGGCTTTCATAAAATTAATACCTTTTTAAAGTACTAAAAATAAACAATATCGAGATAAATATATTAAATAGTGTTTAACCAAAGTTAAATGCTTTTAATTCAACTTATAGTATAGAAGATAGAATTGTAAGAACGATAATCTCTTTATACAGTTTTCTAAATTATAACAATAAGTTATCTAAAGCTTTATTTAATAGTTTGGTTGTATACAAAAAAACCAAAAAACACAAGATATACTAATGCTGAGTATAACTATATTGCTAGCGAGGCCTAATAGTTTTCTACTCAATCTATATCACCATCTATGACAACTATATAGTTTTTTGAAACTGTCACAAAGAATATAAAAAATACAAAAGTAGAAGTAATTTTGTTTGAAAGTAATATCCAATATAAAGAAATAGCAGTTAAAACAGTTGATACTATAATAAATAATCAATATATATTTTATAGAAATGGTAAATTAGAGCTTATAAAAAAGCAACTAGAAATAACTAATAATTCTATTGTAAATAAAAAAAGTGAAACTAATAGTAAAGAGGACCAGGTACCTGAAATAATTAATAATTCTATTGTAAATAGAGAAAGGATGTTTGAAAATAATGTAGAAAGAACCAGATATCTAAAATAATTGAGTTATCAAGTAACGAAGAAGACAGAATTTCTGAAATAATTGAGATATCAAGTAATAAAGAAAATTAGATACCTGAAGGCGAGTAGATACCTAAAATAATTGTGTTATTAAGTATTTTAAAAAAACAAACTTCTAAAATGGCTATAATGAATAGTTTTGAATATATAGTATTTTTTAAACCATCCATTTTAGCAGACAAATTTGTTTGCTAAAATTGGTAAAAAAAATTTTAATATGAGTAAAAAAAAATTTTATAAAAATCTTTGCTTGAATAGTTTTTAGAAGCTCAGATTACATGACGGGCAACCCTATTTTAGTATCACAGATTAGTGCTCGGCAAAATCAAACAAAAACTCGATTATCGAGTTTTTGAATCTATCGATTTATAGTATTGTGCTTCAAT